TAAACAATAATAAAATATTCACTCACAAAAATAAATTAATCAATAATATCTAAACTAAACAGTATTTTATATCATGACAAAAATTCACAAAACATGTTAAAATTTATGGTATGGAAACTCTGATGGTCAGTTTGAGGTCACTTGGTTGTTGTATCCATTGAGACAGTAGTGAAATAATTAATATTTTGTTTCATGTAATTCAAAACAACACCATAATGGCTAAGTTAAAAAAAGAAACCTGTATATTTAAAAGTATATTATGTTAAAGCCTTGTATCAAATATAATTAAACAATTGTGTAAATAACATTTATAATAATAATAAAAAACATATAACCAGAAGTCTCATACAGTTAGTCCACTACTTCATATAGGCTTGAACACTGAACATAATTTTTGTATAATATAAGCTCATTCAAAAAACTCATTTTACAAGTTTGGAGAGAAGATTGTGAAATATTTTCTACCAATATATACAAAGGATGTGCCTAAAATGTAAATATATTTACATGAGAGAAATGCCATATACCATGACACTACATGTGTAGCTACAAACTTCTAATCATAACAGAAGTTTGAAAGTGTTAAACATTCATGTAAAACTATTAATATAAGCTTTCTAATAAAAACAAAATGAACAAATAACACTCTCCAAGAAAGTAAAAATGATCAGTTTATGGTTACAGACTTAAAATTACTTTCAAATGAACTAAAAACAACTCAAGTGATCAATGCACAAAAACATCAAATTTTCTTCTGGCATCGAACATCATGATACTAAACCTTCTTCAAAACAAAGAAAATTAATGCTTTTGAAACAATGTCCTTCAGTAGATGAAGTCCTACAATTTGATCAAACTGATAACATTTTAAGTCCTAATTTTATACAGCACAACCTATAGATTGTGCTTACTAAAGTATTAAAAAAATCATCCACACTTAGGACCTCATAAATTAAATGTTAAATCATTTAATAATAAAGCTTTGAATACAATTTTCTTGTTCGGCATTCCCAAAATCAGGACTTAAATATATTTTATGTTCCTTCATGCATGTGGTACAATTTGTCCAAACATTATCATCACAATTATATGACTTATTAATATGTATGTTATGGTATATTCAATAATCATAAATGCTGCAATTTAACCAGTTACTGTTTGCATGAACTACTACTTACTAGACTATTTTCCAATAAATGGAAACCTATACTTTTATCTCAAATCTATCACTCCTATCCTACTCGTCTATTTTATCTTCTAACAACAGATATATCACCACTTCACAATATTTCTGACAATTTTAAACTTCTCTTTAAATCAAGAGTTCTGCTTTAAGATTATACACTGTTTTGTACAATGATATTCTGTAAAACTTAGCACATATTCAGATTCTAGAAGTAAAACATTATGAAAAAATTTTACACGTTTGATTTCCAATTACTCCATTAACAGAAAATGTACTCTATTATAAAATGTAGTGTTTTATAGAGAATATTTCTTAAAAAGTAGTGCTTCTGTAAATTCACCATTGGTAAAAACATCAATTACAAAGAATTGGCTTTTGCAATTAGTGGATACTAATACAATTAAATTTTGGTGTCACTAGTTAGGGAAACATCACAATATAGTTCCTGTAACTTATAACAAAGATTGAGACAATATGCTTAACAATTCAGAGGTTCATTCCCATTGTTTTACCAATGTTACTAACATGACTGCTTTACTAACTTAGAAACTGGGAGGAGAGCTAAGTCAATTTAACACAGTTGTTAATAATAGTATATGTACACTAACTGGAAAAGTGAAGAGGTAGGGGGCACGATCCTCTTCTGCCCTATGTGTTAGGCATGTATGATCACCAAATAATACTAGTAATCAAGAAATTATGTTTAGCAGGAAACTGAGAAAAAAGTATTTTGATCAAAAACTACAGTAGACTACCGGCTATGAACATTCTAATAAACACATGGAACTTTTTTAAGCCTATATCTATTGATTGTTGTGTTCAATTTTCTTTCTTTTAAAACAGTACTTATTATGCCTCAC